TAATGGGCATGATGCCTCAGAATTGTGAAAGAAAATTGAACTACAATACTGCAGTAATATACACGCAGTGCTCACTAAATATCGAAACCTGCACTGTCTATATGTTTTACTCTTCTTGGTATAAAAAAACTTATGTGACTTAAAGTAATTTCGGAAAATAAGATTTTATTTTTATTTTTCTGTGATTACAAGACTGCACAGACAAATTTCTCTGCCAAGGTTTTCACCAAAGTATAATCTCTTAAAGTTTAACAGGTACATATTTATTTTTAAGATAATTAGTAAGGAAAAAAACAATGTAAATAGTTTGGTTAAATGAGTACATAGTAATGCTCTTGTCTTTTTAAAAATAAATTTTTAAATTGCGTGTTCACAAGAAAAATCAACTTTAAAACAACCAATTACAAGAAAAGTTGGAAATCATAGAATGAAAAATTTAAGTTATTCAAATATGTCTCCAATTACCTTTCACCTGAATATCTATTTTGAAATGTATAACAATTTGGGGGTTCAAGGCTTTTTGTTTGTATGTTTAGTAGAGATTTACTTAACCTGTCAAGGGCAAAATGAATAAATATACATTCATTATAGATTAACTGACATTTTAGACTAGAAGAAACAATTTATTGTTTAGATGCTAAATTCTTGAAAGCTACAGTGTCGTCAGAAATACATTATTAACAACAGCATTAGGTACCTAGGTATTTTCAATAATCTGTGGCTGTAATTCCCATGAGAAATTTAAGATACCATTGGCATCTTTTAAAACGTTAATCTGAACAGCAAGTTGTGAGAGAATTTTATATGATTCTAGACTAGCATTTGGAATGGGACTCTAGAAATTAACCCTTTTGGCTCAATAATAAGTTTTTTTTCAGAGAGTCATTTTTAATTTTTAATTTCCCATACAGTTATTAAATAAAGAAGACAAGGTCACTCTCAGTGGCTCACGCCTGTAATCCTGGCCCTCAGGGAGGCCAAGGCAGGAGGATCACTTGAGCTCTGGAGTTTGAGAACAGCCTGAGCAAGAGCAAGACGCCATCTCTATTAAAAACAGAAAAAATTAGCTGGGTGTGGTGGCCTGTTCCTATAGTCCCAGCTACTTGGGAGGCTGAGGCAGGAGGATCCCTTGAGACCAGGAGTTTGAGGCTGCAGTGAGCTATGACGACACCACGGCACTCTACCCAGGATGACAGAGCAAGACTCTGTCTCAATAAATAAAATGAAGACAAGATTACAGTTTGAATTTCAATGTCTAAATATAGTAAACTG